AATGCTAAACTCCTGCTAGGACAAGGGGAGCCCTTAGTGAGCCTGTGTGCAGTGGTGAGACCTGGCATTTCTTTTGTTGTGATTGTTGTAAGTCAGTTTATGGATTCTCCATGTCTATCCACATTTTACGATATATAGAATCAGCCTCACGCAAATGATGACACTTCGATGATCATAGCCATGAGCGGATCGTTGAATATATAGATGTTGACTAGGAAGGACCACCATCTGATAGACATTGTACATTTGAATATTATATCTTAGTAGGAGGTAATTTGGTGCCTTGGAAGAGCAAGAAACAAATGGGTAACTCATTTTTAGTAGGAGGTAAATTTGAGGCGTTGGGGTTGGGGTTGAGGGTGGGGTGGGGTGGGGGGGTTGAGGAGGGTGAAGAGTGAGGTAGAAGATTTTGCTTTTGAAGCTTTTAAAATGATTCCTATAATAATATGGGTAAATATGAATACCCATATTATCCATTGGGTAACTTGTTTTTACCCATTTAAAATATGAGTCGAGTCAAGTATTCTACCCATTTTAATTTAACTTGTTTTCAATCAACTCATATTTGACTCGACCCGCTCGTTTGCCACTCATACATTGTAGGTTGGCCTCGATGGACATATTGATCGCCTAAAACTCAACTAATGGCCAAGAGTTATATACAAATTTTTGGTCTTGACTATGGTGACACCTTCTCTCATGTGGCCAAGATTGCTTTAGTCTGTCTCTTTTTATTCATGGTTGTTATTCGTCATTGGCCTCTCTACTCGTTGGATATCAAAAACCCTTTCTTCATGGAGATCTCGAAGATGAGGTACATCTGGTTATGTTGCTCATGGGGAGTCTAGTGACATGGTGTGCAGACTATGACGAGCACTCTGTGGCCTAAAACAGTCTCCTCAAGCATGGTTTGGGAAGTTTAGCATGGTAATTCAGGAGTTTGGCATGGTACGAAGTGAAACTTATCATTTTGTATTCTATTGTCACTCTGCTTCAGGTTTGTGCATGTATTTGGTAGTTTACATTGATGACATAGTTATCACAGATAATGATAATGAGGAATAAACCAAATTGAAACATCACCTTTTCCAGCACTTTTAGACCAAGGATCTTAGTCGGTTGAGATAATTCTTGTGCATTGAGGTTGCTCAATCCAAATAAGGAATTGTCATTTCACAAAGGAAGTATGCACTTGATATTCTTGAAGAGACAGATGACAGGTTGTAGGCCTATTGAGTCTTCAATGGATTCACATGCTAAGCTCTTGCCAAGTCAGAGGGAGCCTCTTAGAGATCCAGAAAGATCTAGAAGGCTGGTAGGAAAGTTGAATTATCTCACAAGTCACAATGACTCGACCTGATATTAACGTGTCGTAAGTCAGTTCTTGAATTCTTCTTGTGACTGTCACTGGAATGCAGTTATTCGTACTCTTCGATACATAAATCTTCTCCAAGGAAAGAACTACTTTATGAATACTGAGGACATGAGAAAATTGTTGGATATTCTGATGTAGACTGGGCAAGGTCACCCTCTGACAGATGATACACTTCTGGATATTGTGTTCCAGCTAGTGGAAAATTTGGTGTCTTGGAAAAGTAAAAAGCAAAATGTGGTTGCTAGATTTAGCATAGAAGCAAAATATTGGGATTATGTGTGAACTCATATGGATCAAGCAACTATTGCAGGAGTTGAATTTTGGAGATACTAAAGACTGGAACTTGTGTGTGATAATGAAGCTGCTCTTAACATTGCATCAAATCCAATATTTCACGAGAGGAATAAACACATCGAAATTGATTGTTATTTCGTTAGAGAAAATGTATTCTCAGGAGACATCGTCACAAGGTTCGTGCGGTCAAGTGATCAGTTTGTAGACATTTTCACCAAGCCCCTAGCCGGTCCCAGAACAAGTTATACATGTAACAAGCTTAGTACATATAATATCTATGCACTAGCTTGAGGGGGAGTGTTAGAATCATTTGAACGTTCTATAGCATATGTGTAAATTTAATTTACTCCTATTTTAATTAGGTATTGATTTATATTGATTTCCTTTCCTTTTTAGGACATGTAAACTTACCTATTTAAACCGCAGTAGCTTGTTGGAATAATCAAGCCGAATTCTCTCTCAAACTCTTGTCTTGTCACAACATCTTAACAATATCTTAACAGTATCGTTATGTAACACATCTTAATAATATCCTCCCGTGCCTTTATTTCTCACAAATCCGTTTCTGGAGAAGGATTTGGCTTGGGATTATCTTTTGGCATTTCTGGTGTTTAATGGCTTGCCTAGAACTCTAAGATTGGGATTTCAGCATGTTCATGATATGTCATGAACTGTGTTCTGCTTGGGATGTGATTACTGTGAGTGAGAACTCTTGAATTTGGAATCAATGGCACCACAAAAGAGATCGAGCTGGCAGTAAGAGTGGAATAATGTCTTACTGTGAGTGACTCCATGGTACAGCTTGATCCTTCTTTGCAGGGGGACTCCTAAGTGATTGAAAGTTAGTGGTTATGATCACTCAATCACAAAGTGATCTTCACAATAAAGTTGTCAATATGCTTTTAATGTATGGTAGTGGGACAAGCTCCTTTAAATTTCTTTATCATATGTGAGATCAAGATGTGAATTTGTGGCATTTGATGATAAATGGTTATGCATTGAACGGATTGGGAGTCAATGGTTTGGATTTGTATGTTCAGATGAGGGAGCTGCATTTGAATCCACACAAGGAAATCTTTCTTGAAGATCTTGGGTTTGTGCCTTTCATGAAACTGCACAGCTATTTGAGCTCGAGTGGTCGGGCTATCTATTTGTTTCTTTGTGTTGGGACTAGAGCTATCTTCAAGAACCTGACCAAACAGTCTCTGCATATCCATTAACTGGCAATTCAATACAAGAAATATCTTTGAGCATGCCCTTATTGATGCTGGTTTGCACGTTGCAGAAGTTAGCAGTCTATGAGAGTTTTACAGGGGATTCAAACCAACTTTTCTGTTTGCTGCTGAAACTAATGCTGAGCAAAGGGAAAAAAACATGACCATCAAGTTCAGAGTTTATTCTCTCAACAGTTTTCGTCCTCTCTTATTGATCCAAGTTCAGCTCCTCTGAATTGCAAGGCTCTTATGGTGTTAATTAAGGCACACAAGAAGAAGACCGAACCAACAAATCTCATGGTTTCAAGTGTGTAATGCTTGCAAAGAGATGGAAGTGTTTGATTCAGAAATGTCTGTCCATGAATTTGCGCTAAAGGTCATGTTAAAGGGTAACATACCTATTGAAAATGCACTAGTTGGAATGTATAGAAAAGTTAGAAACGTGAGCGATTGTGAGAGCACATTTCATGACCCAGAGAGCAATAAGATCACTTGGAATGTAGCAACTGGTAGTGCATGTGGAACAATTAAAATATACATATATGAAGAAAAAGTGAGAATTTGAACAGGGAAGATTGGAGCTCAGAGCTCATTCCAACTTGAACCAAAGGATAACTGGAACCATGCATTTCCTTCAAATATGCTCGAGGCTACTGGAATTGACATGGCTTTGTCAGAAATACCAGATTTAGAAGTTATACCAGGAGTTCAAATTGGTTTTATTGGTGATAAGTTCATTGTGAAGCCAACAATTCAGGAAATGGAGAACTTACAGTTGGATTTGTTATTTGCAGAGATCAGAATGCAACATTAATGGTCGATTTTCTTCTCTAGGACAAGTTGGTTGAAGCTACAGATGTAGGGCAGAATGCTGTGCGGGTATTTGCAAGTAGGTGGAAACTTTAGTGCATAAATGCGGAAGGACAAAATGCTCGATGCCTCAAGCTATCTCCAAATTTGAGCAACACCGTTAAGTTGATAAGCGGCCAACTCCGCCTTTTCCACCGGCGTCACTCCCATGATCATCAACACCTTGTAAACCTCATCAATGAACTCTTGGGGATCTTCCTCAACCTTAGAACCATGAAACTCCGGGGGATTCATCCTAGTGAAGTCCCTCACTTTAGATGCCGCCGTACCCACATTTGGGTTCATGGGAACCGCAACCTCCCTATTGGCTTGGGCCGTCACGGCTTGAGCCAACACTTGAAAAGCAGCCCTAAACTCCGCATTAGCCAGAAAAGTTGCCGGCGAGGAGTTAGTGGAAGTGCTGCAAATTGAAAACAAGATTCCAAGAAGAAAGGCCCAATTATTATTGGAAGAAAGTATTAAAAGCATGTTGTCAGAGGGATTATATCAGTAAAATGCAAGGTTTTGGGTTTACCGGAACGATTTGTAGTTTGTAGAGAATGGTGCCAGCATTAAATAAAAGAAGACACAAGAATCAATTAGGAAATACTCTTGTTTACAGCTTGCAAGATTGATTCAAAGACACAACTGCTATATTTGGTGACTTTTCACAATTTCCACTTGATTCTGGCAATGTTAGGTCTTTCACTTTCACACTATCACACCCTTGAGGGCAAGGGTTGTTTAAGGGAGGGATCTGAATCCAATATGATGTAAATTTCTAGCATGTAACTGACTCACGTGAATAGCCATTTGGTACCAAGTAGTTAAGCTCATTCTAGCAAAATTACTTATGTCTTAGCTTAGCAGTGCATTTTAGCTTCTCTAATAAGTTGTTTTCCTTTCATGGTAATCATCATTTTGCAGAAGTAAGATAGCCATAGTGTAGCTTAGCTCTTAAACTTTGTTTTCCCTTCCCAGCAGTATTTTTCTTACCTTCAGTGAGCCCATTCACATACTTAATCCCAATGCAATTATCTCTATTAGATATAAATGGATTTGTTATTACAATGCTGTAATATTGAGCTGGCTTGTACGTCCGTAAAAGTATGTGTGCTATTTTTAACTGATGTTTACAACACTTAAATATTTATTCACAAGGAAATGGAAAGAACCAATAATTGTGCCCCCTCCAGTTAAATGAGTTTATTTGTTTTTTCTTTAGAGTTTTAACTAGCCATAGAGTAACTGGTTGTTTATTGATGCAGGGCATAAAGCTAGATCCTATCTGCTGCTGCTCATAAGACTGAGTCGAGTAATAGTGGAGACAAGTGGTGGTTTGATTTGTTATAGAATCTTATAGTGTAGAATGAGTGCAGAGATAAAATACTATTGATATTAACGTGTTAGCAATATTTAGCTAAAGTGTGTGCTTTTAATGGTTGAGCTTCAAGCACAAAAATGAATGTTGGTATTACGTTGTTAAAAATTCTCCTTTATTTTTTTAACTATATTGCACGGGTAGTGTGCATGCACATTGATATTTTATCAAGTACTTACTATGTCTTACCAGCTCATACATTAGGTAAGTGAAAATAAGATTTGACTGGTTACAGGTAATTACATGATTTGATTGATTTTCTGGCTAAGCAATTGCTTTGTTGAATGTTAAATTGACTACATTTGAAGGAATACAATCACACTGTCTACTAGAAATGTACTTAAAGAACTTTACGCGGGGGGTGGGGGTGGGGGGGATGAACATTTTAAATTGGTGTTACAATATTTTGACATAGAGAGTGTATGTACTCTCTTAAAGAGAGTGAGAAACCTAAGATAATGATTATAATATTGGTTTTATGAGTATTTTATAATGAAATGTATTTTCTTATTTTTCTCATAGTTACAACTGTTTTTCTTATTCTTTTTCCTTCTTTATTTCTTCCTTCTTTAAAAATTAGCTGCATTCTTCGATGAAACTCCGCCTCCTTCAATGTGACCATTTTTGTCACAACATTCTTTTACTATTATTCCTTTTAATTCTCAACTCTAAAGTCTTATCTACGTATTTTATTTTTTTTACATTTCGAATAGTTTTGTAAACTCATTAGATTCAAGATGATTAGAAGATACCATTTAGTTTTTTTTTATTATTTGAATTTCAATTAAGATCCTTACAATTTTGAAGAAATTCATTGATTTTTTTCAAAATTATTTTTCAAAGTTGTATAAAAAGAAGATAAATCAATTGATGATATTTTCAAACTTTGAATTTGCTTAAAGAATAATTAATTTTTGTTATCAACAACATAACAAAATCAAGAAAATAATATATATATAATTTTATTTTTTAAATGAAAAATCAATAATAAGAAGAAAAGAAAGAAGGGGAGTAAAGAAAATGGGGGAAAGGGTTTGCAGTGGAAGGGATGGGGGTGGAGGTGAAAGGGAAGTGTATTTTGGATGAAGTTATAATTAAAATAAAAAAGGATAAAAATAATTCAAAAAGTAAGAGAGAAAAAGAAAAAGGAAAACATAAAAAGTATAAAGAAAAATATAAAATATAAAAAATATATATTTTTAATTAAATTAACACGTGACAAACATTGATTGATGGGTGACTAACACTTTACTTTTAAAAATTTGGACTAGTCCAAAAATAACGTAATAATACCAGTTCAAAGTTGTTTAAGGGTAATAGGATTCCCGCAAAGTTTAAGTATCTTTTTAAAAAACAGTCTTACTTTGATGGGGTAATGATGTATTCTCTCTATATCATATCATATCATATGTCATCATATATCTTTCTATACTACCTTGAACTCCCTTACTTGAATATTAAATTACTATAATACTCTCAACTTAAAACACAAATTTAGTATATATTCTATATTTTATATTATATTGCATTTATTTATTTATTTGTTCAATATTATATTAAAAGCTTACACCTTTTCACATTGATGAGTAGTGATTTCTTTAAAGGGTTGTGAGTTTTTTAAAAAGCTGTGACTTTTTTGATGAATTATGATATTTCCGAATGGTTGTAATTTTTCTGAAAAGTTTGTGACTTATCTGATAAGGCATGATAAGCACATTTTCATACTATCATTTGTTATCTAATCTGTTGTCTATAAATAGAGGGATTTTCTCACATTTTTAATCTACGAATTTTGTAACTTTTATATTCTTCTTCTTCTTAAAACAAGGAAGATTATGAGAATTGCTCAACTTTGCAATTATTTTTTTGTGGGTAAATTAGGCAGATCAATAAAAGTTGATGCAACAAGGAAAATTGAATAACTCAACTTCAAACGAAAAGACTATCTAGATAATTAACATATACTCATGTTCATTGCCATAAATATACTTTTGCAACAACTTCTACTTGACAAAAAATTCAATGATTTTATGTTGCACCGACTACAACTTGGTGTTCAAGCTGCGAAAAGCCTCAAACAGTTGGATAAGAAGAATTTGATCAAAAACTTATTTAAAGAGTCAAAACTAGATTTAATCAGTACTCATCCGTTTCCAATTTATTTGTTATACTTTTATGTTTATTCAGTTTAATATAGAATGTTCTTTTTTTTTGTGATGGGGAGGGGGCATGTTTAAGACGACAAAGTTAAAAGATTTTTTTTAATGTTTTACGTATCCTTAAATTAAAAGTCTTTTTTATTTTTTAAAATTTCATATCAATTAAAATTAGACAAATCAATTTTTTTTTAATCTATATCTATACTACCTTAAAAGTATGAACTACCTAATTTAAATGTTAAATTATTATAATGCCGCTCCCTCCCCCCCCCCCCCCCCCCCCCCCCCTCTCTTAAAACACCAAATTTAGTATATCTTCTATATTATATATTGTATTTTCTATCTATATATAATAGGAGAAAAAAAAGTTCCACATGTCAGCACCACAAAATTTCTCCATTTTTTAGTTTTAAAAATTAAAATTTTAAAATAATTTTAATCTGCATTAGTTATTAATTTTAAATTTTAAAAAATCAATAGATATTTCAAAAGTTTTTTTAAAAAAAATTAGAAAGTTACCACAGTTAATATAACTATTTTCTATTATTTTTATTTTTTTTTAAAAAAAACAGATTCTACACGTGGTTAAATTTTCTTGGACTCTTATTTTTATTTTCTAATTAGAATATTTATTTTTGTCCTATGTATTTGTGAGTATAACTGGACAAATGGGATAATGTCATGTAGTTTAAAAACTGCCAATTGACCAAAAAAAATACTTTCAATCTAAAAGAAATAATTAATAAATAATCTAATAAAACTTTAAAATTAAAAACTTATTGTCAGTAAAATAAATAAGACTCTGGGTTTTCGTAGGGGAAATGGGTAGTATTTTTTTTCCTTTTTTAATTTATTAAATCTTAAATCTACGGATAACATGCCTAGAGGAAACTTTCAATTCATAATAAAATAAATAAATAATTAAATTACTAATAAAAAATAATAATTAAAAACTTATTGTCAAAAAAATTAGAAAATTAAAAAATGTGGATTTTCACAGGGAAAATGCGGTAGTTTTTTTCCCTTAAAATTTTTTATTAAATTATATCCAGATAACATGGCTTATTTTTATTTAATAGGAGAAAGAAAAAACTTTAAATCCGGATTAAAAAAAGAAGAAGCCACGTCCTTTAAGGAAAAAAAAACTTAAATTAGCCATGATATAGATTTTAAATAATTAATTTAAAATTTGAAATTCAAACAATGACTAACCTTATCCCTAAAAAAAATATCTAAACATCATAACCCACATCTTTGGAAAATAACTACATCATCCACATCTTCTTAAATCAACTCTTCAAAATATGAATCCAAACATGTGTAAAACAAAAATCACATTCAAACAAAAATCTGATTACACTTACAAAGATCATATAAGCATATTTAGAGGAAGCATAGTAGTATATTGTGTGTGTATATGCACTCTCTCTCAATTGTTTGATATGTTTGATTATGATTGAAGAGAAAGAAAGAAGAAACTAACAATAAAGAAATGGAGAAATTTTGAAGAATTTCATGGCGGAGGATCATATACGCCATCTTTTAATAATTTTGGTACATAAATTACTACAATTGTTTCGTTGATTTGGTGGCTTTGCATGACATTTAATTTTTTCTTCATAAATTAGGTTTTTTCGGTTCATTTTTAATAATTATTGTAATGATCCTTTTTTATGTGATTTATAACCGAAATATATAGTCATAACTTGGTTATTTGAATAAGATTTATTTATTACTATCATAACGATCTGACGGCGAAAAGTGTAAAGTAACAAATGAAAAATTTATAATGACAATTTTCCATGTTGGTAATTTGTGTAACTCAAATTTTTTGATAGAAAAAATCTTTTTAAAAAAAATTACATATCACATTACGTATGATGCAAAAATAACAATATAGCCAAAATATTGATAGATTTTTAATAAAATAATATTGAATGATCTTTTATTTAACAAGTCATGACAACTTTAAGCAATCAATGGATCCTACAGCAATACTAAAAGGATGTTGAATTTTGATATCAAATCTCAATATCCTACATTTTCTCTCTAATTTGCATGGAAGTTTATTTTATATAGTGATTGAAATTATATTTGTCGAATATAAATAATAAGAAGATTTTTACTAATGAAATAAAAGTACAATAAAAAAAATAAAATTGTAAAAGTAAATAACTGTATAATTATTAACATAATATATTAAAAGATGAGCAATATAAAGGACATAAGTGAAAAAAATATACTTCTACGAAAACACATGGCAAAAGGTTAACACAATAATCTATCTATATATAAAAGGAGAAGAAAAAATGACACATGTCAACACCATAAATTTTCAGTATTTTAAATAATTAATAATCAATAATTAAATAAATAAATATAGACACATGTCAATAATTAGAATTAGAACGACACATGTCAACACCACAAAAATAAAATACAAATAAATAAATAATTTTTTTAACTATCTTTCCACAACCTCCTTATTTATAGCAAAAAAATGTAGATGATAATAATAATAAATTTTCAATTTTTTAAAAATCATTTCATTAAATAGTAAAATATTTTTATTATTTTTTAAAATAATTTTGAAGTAGTTTTTACAAATAAACGAGAAATAATTTTTAAAAAATTCTATTTTTTCCTCAAATGAAAAATTGGTTACTATTCTTTGAATTTGAATTTTAAATTTACTGTTTGAAATAAAAACATTTAAAATAATAAAAAAAGTAAATTGAAATTTTTGGTAAGTAAGTTAGGGATCCTATTTTTGTGGGAAATTATCAAATGTTTTATACTAAATATTTAAAATAATTTTCCACAACTACTCCTTTGTAGCAAACAGAA